CTAAGAGGAGCCTAAGGAAAAATAACTATATGTAATTTGGGATTCTGAAACAGAAAGGACATTGGGCAAAATATAAGGAAATGTGAATAATGAGGGACTGTAGTCAATATTAATGTATTAATATTGGTTCATTAATTGTAATAGGGGAAACTATTGGTGTGTGCGTGTGCTTGGGGGAGTTACATGGCAACTCTCTGCACTATCTTCTCAATTTTTGTGTGAATATAAAACTGTCCTAAAGAGAGCCTAAAACTAAATACAGACAGACAGCAATGGTTTATAACTTCTTGAACAGAAAGGAATACATGAATTCATACTGATAGTAAAGAAATAAATAAGGAGGATTCTTCTTTATACAGGGTGGCCTAGAAGTCACTTTACCATTTAAAAATTAAATAAAATTTTTGTTAATTATTTTCTATTTTTTTTTTTATAATATGAAGTACAGAAAATGGGAGTTTTCTTAACTATGTATGAAAAATGATGTCACATACATGACCTCCATTTTATGCTTCGAAAGCACGGGCTTTTTCTATGGCATTTTCCATGACGGCTCTTAACATGTCTGGCTCCAGTACTTGAATATCTTCCTGAATCTTGTCCTTAAGCTGCTGGATAGTCCTGGGCTTTAATTCATGCACCAACTTCACTTTGTATGGGTACATGGGTAAATTTGTTTGCACATGCTGTAACGAAGTCTGTGAGATGCCAAGCTCTCAAGAATCTTCGAGTGGACATTCCTAGTTCCGCGTGAATTCTCTGCTGTACACACTCAGTATTTCCCTGCATACGTACTGAATGTGATCTCCCAGCTAGTGGCAAATCACTAACAGACCCCTGTTGCTAGAAAAGTTGAACCAAGTGAGGCATTGCTGGTTTTGTGGGTAGATTCCTCACATGGAAATAGCACATGTATGCTCTCTGTGTCAGAACAATGGAGCGCTGATTTTCAAAATAAAATTCGATGATCTATACGTGTTGCTCTGTTGCGAATTTTTCCATAATAAATTTCCAAGGAACAGATTTTCAAAATCTGAAACAGTAATTTAAAAAATTAGTGCCAAAAAAGTTATTAAATTTTTAAATGATAAAATGATTTATGGGCCACTCTGTAGCAGCACAGGGCTAATAAATGTGAAGAGCTTGAATGAGTTAGAAAAAAAAAAATCAATATTTTGTAACCATCCTGGTAAATATCGGTTGCAGTAAGAATTACCAATGGAAGCCAGACCATAAGGCACAATTTGATTAGGACCAAGATATTTGCTTGGTCTCAAAGTATCTCCTCACAGAGTGCACATTAGTTCCAAGTAGGAAAATATACAGTGAAGAAACTGGATAACACCTTGATTGGGTGATAAAGATTAATATCACAGATATCCTGTGCCTCTGGATGTAATAACCTGAGAAGGACACACTTAATTTATGTAGTTGATTCAAGGGAGGATGCATAACTTGAATCTAATCAGGAGGAAACGTCAGACAAATGTCAATGTGCATATTTGTATTTGAGGACAATTCTTTCTTTGTACAGGAATGCACTGCTTTGCTGAGCCCTTTGGTCATTAAGGCTGTTAAATAAGCAAATGGAAACATTCCATACTGTGATTTTAAGTATTATATTTAAAATTAAAATGCTACTGTCAACAAAGATTTATTTAATATGAAAAGATTAGCAGTTTCTCTGGCAGAGACAGGAATGCCGGGCAGAGAGCAGGTCTAGGGAGAGGGGACCCCGCGCTGAGCATTGCCAGTGTTCAGTTTGTATTTCTTTTTATTTTTTTACACCCAGCCCATGTGGCTCTGCAGTTGAGCAACGACCTCATGCACCAAGAGGTTGCCAGTTTGATTCCCAGTCAGGGGACATGTCCAGGTTGTGGGTCAAATCCCCAGTGGGAGGCATGCAGGAGGCAGCCAATCAATGTTCTCTCATTGATGTTTCTCTCTCTCTCTCTCTCCCTCTCCCTTCCTCTCTAAAATCAATAAAGAAAAAAATAAATAATAAAAATTTTTTGATTGATTGGGGGGGCGGTGAGAGAGAAACATCATTTGTTGCTCCACTTAACTTATGCATTCATTGGTTGCTTCTTGTATATGCCCTGACTAGGCTGGAACCTGCAACCTTGGCATACTGGGAGGATGTTGTAACCAACTGTGCTACCAGCCAGAGCCCGTATTTGTTTGTAATTTAACAAACGCTTAACACAGTTCTTATCTTTACCTTCTTTTTACCAGGTGCTGTTCTAAGCGCTTTTCTTTTACTGACTTTTTTTTTTTTTTTTTTAACATTTATCTTCAGAAAGAGTGAGATGGGGAGAGAGCAAGAAACGTGGACTGGTTGCCAAACGGAGGACTCCAACCCAGGCAGGGACAAACCGCAACCGAGGTACATGCCCTTGGCAGGAATCCAACCCAGGACTCTCTGGACCGCAGGCTGAGCTCTAACCGCTGAGCAAAACTGGCCAGGGCTGTGACTTTTTAATGGGAAAACTCAGTAATTGGTCTTTATCTCCTAAAACAAAACACATACATGACGCTACGTGATTTTCTCACAAGCATTTTTATCTGTTGTGAAGGCTCTGTGTCAGTGGAAGAACAGGCGCCTGCAATTACTGAGTGGTTTTTCCTAAAAACGTGGGCAGCCCTCCTTTGCGATATCACGTTGTTCCACTTGAAAAACCTGATTCTTCTTTTTTTTTTTTTTAATCCTCACCTGAGGACATTTTTCCATTTTTTTTATTCAGACAGAGCGGGAGGGAGAGAGAGGAAGAGAGAGAAACATCCACGTGAAAGGGACACATCGAGTGGCTGCCACCCGCACAACCCAACCAGGGCCGGGGACAAACCGCAACCGAAGCACACGCCCTTAGCGGAACCGAACCCAGGTCTCTCTGGACCACAGGCAGACGATCTAACCGCTGAGCCAAACCAGCCAGGGCAAAACACTGATTCTTTGTTTTGAAAAGCCTTAAAAGCTTGGAGAGCCGCCTACGTTTATTTTTGAGGCTCACATTCTTCTCTCCTTTAGTGATGAATCCCACAGCACGACGCTGTGTATTTAGCCGAAGTTCAAGTTTCTAATAACTTCGCCGCTCCAGTTATAAGAACCAGTTCTGGGTTAAGTTTTACGTCAAATGCGCGCGTCTATGACACAGTGGATTCTGGGAGACCAGTCTTTGCCGCAGAGACCTGCAGACCTGCGTGACGCCGGACTTCAATTCCCACAATGCCCAGAAAGAGTCCGCGACGTCTTCCGGGTCATTGTGAGGTGGCCGCCATTTTGCGCGCTAAGGTGTGGCTCGTCGCCTGGAGCTTCAGCAGTGGGTGTTCTGTTCCTCAAGGTTCCTGTTTTGGGGTCGTGTTTGGGCGTTTCTTTCAACGTCTCAGAGACCACGTCCCGTGTCTTTCCAGAAGACGGTTTTATTGGGAGGCGAAGGTCAATGCGGAGCTGTGGGGTAAGGTGAGTAAACACACTTTAAATGTGTGTGTGGGGGGGGTGGTGGTGGTAACGTTTTCATTTTTTCCTTCTAACGTCGGCGATGTGCATGCTTGCCGGCACTTGGTCAGACCCTTCCATTAGCTATGAACGAGTTCTCGGCAGAACCTAAACTTGTTTCCGCTGGAACGAGGAAGCAGTGGCGCGCTTTTGCCCGGCCTCCCGGGAGGCCGTGGGGCGCACTTTGAGTGCAGGCCGCGCTTCGTTACCACGATCCACCGCGTCTCTTCCTGGCACGTTTCCGACGTTTGCAATCAGGAAACGAGGAGCCGAGAGGTGGCTGATTTGCGGCTGTTCCGGGAGTTCGGCGTTCTTGACCCATGTGTCTTCCTCCAGCAGCCTCAGACCTATCGTACCGTTCTCTGTTCACCTTTATGCCCTTTCCTTTTTCTTCGTGTTAGAGGAGCACCAGAGAGCGGGCAGAACGAAGAATGACTGAGCAAAGCAGGCTTTCGATTGTATTATTGAGGGCCCCTCAGAAATGTCAAGGGAAGCAGAGTTTATCTTTGAGATGCACCGACCCTCTGGAAAAGAGGAGCACTTTGATTTGGGGAGTTGCCAGAAGTTCTTCTGAAACAAAGATGACATATTTGCGTCATTTCCAGTGCAGCTGAAGTATTTTTTTTCTTTTAAGTGAGTGCAGAACACCCGTTTCGAAACCACTTTTTCAAACTGGCGGGAATGGAGCTCACAAAGACTGGCGTTTTCCATTTACTTGGCATTTGATAGCTAAGAAGATGTGCTTGTCTGAGGTTAGAGGGCAGGATCCCTTCAATCCTAAGGACATTGTAGTTTTATTTATTTATTTACTTTTATCCTCACCTGAGGACATTTTTCGATATTTTGTTCAGATAGAGTGGGAGGGAGAGAGAGAGAGAAACATCTATGTGAAAGGGACACATGGAGTGGTTGCCACCCACACGACCCAATCAGGGCCGGGGACAAACTGCGACCGAGGTACGTGCCCTTAGCGGAACTGGACCCGGACCCGGGTCTCTCTGGACCGCAGGCTAACGCTCTAACCGCTCAGCCAAACCCGCCAGGGCAGGACATCGTAGTTTTAAATAGAAGACGTTTATGATGCAGTTTATTGCAGCCAGTTTGGATATGTGTCAATTTTGTTGGCAGATTTACTCTCCCTAGTACACAGCTGTGTATCTGTATCATCAAAATGTATATTATTTATTCAACTTTCCAAACTTACTAAGTTTTTTAAGTTCTCTAAATTCAGTAATGTGTTATTTAGATTAAAGGTGAGGCATATCTTTTTTAAAAAACACTTACGTTCCTTCAATGAGACCCCTTTCTTAAATTATGTTATAACGATACTTAAATAGTAAGTGGCTATAAAAGTACAATTTTATAATTTTTGTATTTTGGGAAAATGTTACCATTTAGTATTACAAATTTAAATACCTTTTTCAGTTTTCCTGTTTTCTGAAGTAACTTTTGTTTAGGTTTTTTAAATATTAGCTCTTAATTGTATGATTTTTGTGCTCCTCAGATGCCTTATGGTGAAATTGAAGCTAAATCCTTGGGACATGGGGAAGAACTGACACGTGAACCATGCTATAAAAAATTGAAGTCAACTAAAGAGTCTTTTGTTTTCCCCCATCATGGTAGTTCTAATTTTCACAGAGTCCAAGAGAAAGCTGAAAATGATTGGATCCCTTTGACCATCACTGATGTCAGAGGACAGAGTTCTCCTCAGGAGGACAAAGCCAAAACTAAAAATTTGCTGAAACCTGTGCATGGTGAGATGCCTGCTAATAGACCAGCTGTTAATGAGTCCACTGACTCACAAGTTTTACATGCTGCAAGTCCTCCATTGGTATCCACAGATGATGAGATATATAGCACAAGTAAAGCATTTATAGGACCCATGTACAAACCCACTGAGGAAAAGAAAAGTAATGAAAGGAGTAATCAAGCAGACACTATCAATGGTATAGATGGCAAAGGAAGACGAGAAGAGAAACGGAAATTTAACTGCAAAAATTCAGAGATTGATAATGAATTATTCCAGTTTTACAAAGAAATTGAAGAGCTTGAAAATGAAAAAAATGATTTGGAAGGCAGTTGTCAGGAACCCGAACCTTCTGAGGAACAATTTATTTCATATTATCAGGGCCATAATAATGATTTGATCAAATATGAAGAAGAAAGGAAAAGAGATCTTACTAATGCTCAGTTACATTGTGGTTATCAACAGTACGTGGGGAATGAGCCAGGCAAATATCCTTGTCATGGACAAGTAATACCTACATTTTGTGATGTGTCCTTTACTTCCTTTAGGCCTGAATGGCAATCAGTGCATTCTTTTATAGTACCCCGAGGTCCTCCACTTCCCAGTTCTAACTATCATTTAAATGTACAAAGATTCAGTGCTCTACCAAATCTACCATCAAATACTTTCCATCCTCAAAATTGCTCTCCGATTCAAAATGGATGTTACATAAATAGCCATGTTAATTGGAATTGTTTGCCTTTTGATCGGAACAGTGAATATACTAACTGTAGTGAGAATATCAGTAGTGATATTCCCTATGGAAGTGGCTACACTGTTCAAGATGGATATATGAGTAATGGTTTCTGTGAAACCAGTGAAAGATGCTGGAAAGATTCTTTTATGGACAAGGGTATTACAACAGACAGGTTTATGAACCAACAGTTTCAAGAGGAAAAGTTAAATAAATTGCAGAAGTTACTTATTCTTTTAAGAGGCTTGCCTGGTTCTGGGAAAACAACGTTATCTCGGTAAGTAAAGGCTACCTAGTGAACTTGGTAATTCATTACATGAAAATCGTAGATGATAGTTGTAATCAGTGACAAATGCTTTCATGTTTCTAGTAGAAAATTTTTGTTATTCTTGAGAATGGCATCTGACAGTAAATATTTTAAAAGGATGTTTTCTGATGGAGGAAGGGCGATTTGGCATATCTGTATTAAGAATTTGCTAAGGCCTTTAATAATAGATACACTGTAAAACTGTGACATTGGTGAAAGCAAATGTTATTTGAGAACTGTTCTGGCCTTCACTTTTATGTCATCTATTTAAGAAGACTTGGGCTTGACTCAGTTATTTCACTTTATGACCATGGACAGGTTTTGCTCTCTGTTGATAGAATGAGTAATACCTGAGAAGAAAATGAGATAACCTAAGGAAAGGAATTTTGAGCATGCTTCAAGCACTGTGCCCTGTTCATACCGTTGACTGGCAGAGGGAACCCTTTTTTTTTTTTTTTTTTTTTAATTTAAGGCGTTTAAAGTGAACAAAAGTAGGTTTACAGTTCGTATGGAAAAATAATACAATAATTAATAAATAATACAAAATAAATTTTCTTGTACTCACAACTTGTAAACCTACTTTTGCCCATCCCTGTTTGAATTAATGGAGTTAGAACTGGTGGTGTTTTATCTATGAGAAAACTATTTCAAATTCATGTTTTTGTTTACCTTTTTTTTTTTTTTTAATATTGTTGCACTCGAATACATTTGTGCAGTTGTAAAAAATAATACAAAGAAAGACAATACAAATTTTTTACAGCTTATGTAGGATGATTGATGATTTATGCCAGGTAAATAGAAAAAGAAAATTTATGTGGTATTTCTGGGTGAGGATAAAAAATTCCAAGGAACTATTTTGTAAATGTTTTATATTTACTTGCAAGACAACCTGAACAATCTACACTAAAGTTTCTTTAGAAGAAAGATTGAATTCTTGATATAGACGTTTCAAACTAGATTGTAAGCTATGATCCTTGTAAATGAATGTAAATTTAGGTCTTTGCATTTTGATTCCTCTTTAGTAAAGATGAAATTTCAGCACTTTGGAAATTATAGAAATTAAGAGTGAAGTTGTCACAAACATGGGCATTCTTCTAAATTTAGAATATAATATCAGAGAAAAATATTATTTGAAATTTTGATCAAGGGATCTTCTGATTAGGACAGCTGACTAAGATCCAGAATAAACATAGAAAGAAATTTGGGCTGACATGTTGAAACTGAAGGTGAATAAAGTAGTGGTAATTCATTATAATTTCAGGAAGATAGTTAGAGTGGGAGATGATAAAAGTTATATGTAATATGTGTATTGGATTAGGTACGTATATGTTATAAGAATGGAAGTTATAATAGAAATTACCATTTGTGTCATAATTTGCAATTTACAGAGTATTTTCATATATAAAAATCTTGGGAGATGGGTTGTATTTTTTTCATTTTATAGAAGCAGAGGCTAAAGAATAAATTCAGCTTAAGAGGCTTTGGAGAATTTCCTGAAACTAGTAAAAGGGAACTATAAATGATAGTGTATTTCTTCCCTGCTCCTTCACTTTGGTATCTAATGCATGAGTAGCCCTGTGTGTGACTTGGAGGAGCTTGGTTAAAGAAGCAGGAATATCATTAAGTCAACAATTTTTGAATGAAGTAGGATTGTTTGGGATTCGATACAAAGCTGCATACTCTGGTGAGGAATGGCTTCACATAGGAGTTAGCTTTCAGAATAAGCAATGAAGAAAGCAAAGATTTGGTAGATCAGAGTTGAGCTGATTTGGAGCACTAAACTAAAAGATAGTATTATTTTGTATGGATATATGGTAATGAGTGTAGGGGGTTAGATAAAGTTCAAATTCTTTGGGGAATTACTCAAGCCCTCTTTTTCCTTAATTTAGTCCTTATCTACCTCTCCATCTTCATATCTGTCTGCCCTTGAACTGGTACCTGCCCTCCACTGCTGGAGACATAATACTTGTTAACTCATTGTCCTCAGGACTTGCCTTATTCAAAGGTTCTCTTTAAATGCTTCCTCTTTTCGAGGTTTTGGCTTATCTCAGCCCTCAGTAATCCTTCTGAACTCTCATATTTGCCTTTACTACTCTGCATGTAGCATAAGCTGCACACAATACTTTACCTTTCTATTTATTGATAATTGACTTAAGCCACGTGGTTATAAGTGGCTGAGGCTTAGTTGTTTATCCACAACTTTGTTAACACATTTTAATGAAATCAGCCTAAGATTAAATTCTGACACAAGTATAGACGTGAAATATTTATGAGTTAGCTAAAGTGCCAGCTCTTTATCCACTTAGGCAAACTGACAGCACTTTGATGAAAGGTTCATTTGAGGCAATTTCAGCAATATTCTAGAGGTAGAATTCTGTTACCACTATAGTTGGCAACAGCCAAACATAATCCTCTGACTCAATGGATGGACCCAGAACATTTAGGGATCAAGTGTTGAGTGTCATTCCCAGGGATGTGATCTGTAGATTTTGCTAGCTTCTTAAACGCTATTCATGCAAAGAGGAGGGATGAATCTAAAATATTTTAGCTAACCCACATTTTTTATACTCTACTGATTTCACCAGTGAGAGTATATTTTCATAAACAAGCCACTAATTTCATTATATTAGCAAAGTGTCTGGAGTTGATCAGAGATCAAAGATAATAGAAGCACTTTTCAGAGAGGACAGAAGATGCTACAATGCTGGCTTTGAAGATGAAAGAAGGGATTGTGATTTAAGGTACTTGAGGTGTCCTTTAGAAGATGGAAAGGGCAAGGAAACAGATTCTCCTTTAGGGCCTCCAGGAGGAATGCCAGTCTGCCACACCTTTATTTTAGCTCAGTGAAACTGATTTTGGACAACTGACCTTCAGAACTAAAAAGATAATAAATCTGTATTATTTTAAGCCACTAAGTATGTGGTGATTTGTTACAATAGCATGGGAAATTACTACATTTATCATAGTTTAAAGAGAAATGGGAAGATATCCCACCCCCCTGCTTTGGGGGAGATCTTGATTTAAACTCCAGAGGAAAGATTTGCCTTTCCTTATGTAGATCTTTATTCTTAATTGAATGAGTGTGCAGAGAATAAAGTGGTCTTGGGCTAGGGGTACTAAGCCACTCAATACATAAGGAGGTAAAGGGTTCATGAAGTGTCAGTTTTGCTCCGATTTTTCTGGGAAAATCACTTCTATTTTTAAATGCACATGGATGTGTTTAAGAAAATAATGTACAGTCTTTAGAAATTTAAAAAATGAACCGTGAAAATTAGCTCTCATAGTAGGCCATTTTGGGAATTCCCAAAATAGGGTTGAAAGAACAGGATTGTTTCTTAAGTGAAAAAGTATAAGCACAGCCCTGGCCGGTGTGGCATAGTGGTTGGAGCGTCATCCTGCAGACCAAAGGGTTGCAGGTTCAATCCTCAACCCTGGTCAGAGCCAGTGTGGGAGGCAACCAATTAATGTGTCTCTCTCACCTCAGTGTTTCTTTCTCTCCTCCCTACCCTCCCTCCCTCTCACTCTCTAAAAATCAATGGAGAAAGTATCCTCGGGTGAGGATTAAAAAAAAGTATAAGCACATAGTGCATCAGTTATCTATGGCTTTGTAACAAATTACCCTAAAACTGAGTTGTGAAAGCAACAAACATTTATTGTCAAGTCCTTTTTTTTTTTTGGTACGTGCCCCTAGCGGGAACGGAACCCGGGACTCTGGTCCGCAGGCCAGCGCTCCAACCACTGAGCCAAACCGGCCAGGGCCATTTATTGTCTCACAGTTTCTGAAGGACAGAAATCAGGGTGGCTCTGGTTCAAGGTCTCTAACATGCTGTGGTCAAGATGTTGTGTTCTGACCTGAAAGGCTTGTCTTAGGGAAGATCTGCTTGGAAGGTCTGTGATGAAGTTGTTGACAAGACTCAGTTCCTTTTTGGATTGAGGCAATAGACGGGAGTCTCCCTCAGTTCTTTGCTACTTGCACCTCTCTCCATTCACAAGTTGATGAGAGAAAGTGAGCCAGCCCTGAGCCCAAAACAGAAGCTACTGTTTTTCAGTAACCTAATCTTGGAATCAACATTTCATCACCTCTGCCATGTTCTATTAGAAGCTGTAGCCTCTGACTGCAACCCACACTCAAGGAGGGGATTATACAAGGATGTGAATACCAGGAGTTGGGGACCATTGTGAGCCAAATGGTTTTGGCTCTCCTACTACTATTTATGTAACTCTGGTGGCCTGGATTTCTGAAATTACTTTCTTTTCTAATTTGTTTAATATCAAATTACCAAGGTGATTGTGATAATTAAATGAGATTTTTTATTAGATACTTGATTTTTTTTCAGAGTTCTAAATTTTGACGTTCTGAGAATCCATTTTAGTATCTGACTTGTAAGAATTTAAATAATTTATTTTTTGTTCAAGTGGTTGGTATGACATCAGATATATTTGGATTGATATAAGCATTTTTAAAATATAAGTTCTCAAAATAAAGCCTCATGGTTTGAGATAATTCAGGGAGGAAAAAGTCTCTCCAAGCTAAACATTTGTTACAATTATGATTTATTTATATATTAAAGATGTTCTTCATAAAGTTATATTCATTTTTAATGTTGACTTTGTTAATGATGTAAATTAATTTACTCTCCCCCACCACCCTTTTTTTTTTTTTTTTTTTAATTTGAGTGAGGTTAAACATTTCTTAGACACAGAAGCCACTGTGCTCTTGTAGTATAATATTATTAACATCTGAAAATTTACCTGCTAATCAAGTTATAGAACAGGAAAAAAAAAAAGTGAAACAGGGTATCTACGTAGAGATGGTTTTGGTCTTCTGATACTGTTAAATATAATTAGATATTGTATGGTTCAGATTTTTTTTTAGAAGATTGAGCTTTGGATATAAATACTAATACAGCATTTATATGTTCTAGGTTATCTGTATAAGCAAATAAGATACAGTAGATGGAAATATTTTGGAAAGATTACGGCTGCTTAAAATGAAATCCAGCCTGGCTGGTGTGGCTCACTTGGTTGAGCATTGTCCCATGTACCTAGAAGTCCCCAGTTCGATTTCTGGTCAGGACACATGCCTGAGTTGCTGCCTGGATCCCCAATACAAGGCATGCAGGAGGCAGCTGATCTGTTTCTCTCTCATTGATGTTTTTCTCTCTCTCCCTTTCCCTTCCTCTCTCTCTAAAGTCAATAAAAACATATTTATTTATTTTTTTAATCCTCACCTGAGGATATTTTTCCATTTTTCTTCATATAGAGTGGGAGGAAGGGAGAGAGACACACACACATCAATGCAAGAGAAGCACATCAGCTGGTTGCCTCCTGCATGACCCCGATCAGAGCCCAGGGAGGAACCGCAACCAAGGTACGTGCCCTTGACCAGAATCAAACCCGTGACTCATTGGTCTGCGGGCTGACGCTATAACCACTGAACCAAACTGGACAGGGCAAAACATATTTTAGAAATGAAAAGGAAATCCAATATCAGTTTCCCAAACAAATTCAAAAAATTTACTTTCATTTGGTTTGTTTGAAGTAGTTTATAATTCTGAGTGAAAATGCATATTTAAAAAGTATTTCAATGTATGCAATTCTATTTTTATAAAATATATACGATTTTATTGTACTGAGGAAAGGGGTTTATTGTAGTTGTTGAAATCCTTTTACTATTTTTTATGAGAAAGTACATATTCTTGAATCATCTCAGGACAATATTCTTATACTCTCAATCTCTTCTCCCACCCTCTACTCCTCTCCTCCTGTCAGAAAATTATAGAACCATAACCAGTTGCCTAATGGTTAAGAGAGAGGATAAAAATAACGAAATACTATTGTTATTGGTGGATCCAAATCATTCCCCTTTCTCAGCAGTACCTGTCTCTCTTGAATCACTAGTTATGGAAATTCTTTGACACTCTTGAATGCTTGTTAATTTCTCTACTTAGAAATTTAAGATAATCATATTGTGAGAATAAAGCTTGCTTGCCATTGACTTGTTTTGAGAGTGTTCTTTATTTAGTGTTGTTATTTCATTTAGTAATTTAATCTCTTAAAAATCTGAAGTTTGATTATACTGTGGAGGATCACCAGTTGTTTTATAACCTTAAGTTTCAAGCTATTTCTGATTCCTACTTGTTAGTTTTGTGTTTGTACTTTGTGGAAATGAATTTATCAAAGCTGTCTTGGGTTAAATATTTTTCCATAGATGAATTGCTTGCTTAGGCTTACTTTCCTTTTAGGTTACCTGCTGCATTAAATGTAGGCAATTTTAGACACCAAATACAATTCATTAAAGTTTAAACATGGATAGTAGTTGACATAATTTTGGGATTGGTTGACTGTTTTTTAAAGTTTTAATAGAAATGCCGCTTTAAAAATGTTTTTGCTACTAACTATATATAATTATGTAGATATAAGTGTGATGTGATATTTGAAATCTGAAAGCTTTTTACGGTTCAGCTCCTCTGCTATTCTGTTTGCAATATACTTATAGGTATGTACCCAAAATTCATTTAATCTTTCCTGTGTGGCTTATTTCTGATGGCTATAGATTTTATAAATGGCATTTTATGATTTCTTTTATTAACAGAATTCTGCTTGGGCAGAGTCGTGATGGCATTGTGTTCAGCACTGATGACTATTTTCACCATCAAGATGGGTACAGGTATAATGTTAATCAACTTGGTGATGCCCATGACTGGAACCAGAACAGAGGTTTGTTTTGGGCCAGGTCTCCTGGGATAGAATATTTGACTAGGAGTCAGAAGACCTGGACTTTTTATTCTTGACTTGAATTTAACCAGCTGAATGACTTTCATAAGCTGTTTGAACAGCTTTGAAACTCAGATTTTTTCACATATTAGAAGCAGTGATACTTGCAAGGTTGTTGTGAAAAATCAGAGAATTTAGATAGAATATTTTGTAAACTGTTAAGTAGTGTACCAGTATAAACTGATAAAATAGAGGGGTGGGATATTTTGGTAGGCTTTATTTTATATCTCTTGAATAAATTCAGAGAACTCTGATACTATAGTTATGTATTCCCAAAAGTTATTTCCCTAAGAATGTTAATATTTTCTAGGGCTTAATACAATGCCTGTGAATATTAAAATTTTTCTCATGATATTAACTCCATGAAAAATCTATTTAATACATTTTTTAGAGGCACATGGGTCAAATTTTTCTTTTCTTTTTTCCACCTTGGAATAGTGGTTCTTAATCTTGGCTGCACATTTGGATTACTTGGGGACCTTTTTTAAAAAAAGTATGTCTGGCCCTTGTCCTGGGTTGCTCATTTGGTTGGAGTGTCACCCCATACATCAAAAAGTTGCGGGTTTGGCTCAGCGGTTAGAGCATCGGCCTGCGGTCCAGAGACACCTGGGTTCGGTTCCCACTAAGGGCACATACCTCGGTTGCAGTTTGGCCCTGGCCCTGGTTGGTTGTGCTGGTGGCAGCCACTCGAAGTGTCCCTTTCACGTCGATGTTTCTCTTTCTCTCTTCCTCCCTTCCCCTCCCACTCAGTCTGAACAAAAAAATGTCCTCAGGTGAGGATAAGAAGAAAAAAATGTGTGGGTTTGATTCCTGGTCAGGGCATATACCTAGGTTGTGGGTTAGATTCCCGGGTGGTGGGAATGCCTGTTGTAGGCGATCAATAGGTGCTTCTCTTAATCTCCCCACCCCCACCCTTCCCTCCCATCTCTCCACCACCACCCCCCCCCCCCCCCCCGAAAAAACAACAACACCACATACCTATGCCTGAGTTGGCCCCAGAGATTCTGGTTTAGTTGGTCTGGAGTAGATCCAAGCATTGGTATTTTTTTAAAAGTTACCCAGATATTCTCATGTTGCAGTCAGATTGAAAACTTGATCTAGAACTATGTAAGTATAACTTAATTTATTTTTTAATTGATGATTAGGCAAATTAATTTTACTAAGAAAAAATTTAAACCTAGAGTCAAGAGATTACAATGAACCCCATATACCCATCACTCGGAATTATCAATTACCAAGATTTTGCCATATTAGCTTTATTCTTTTTGTTTTCACTCCTCCCCTTTTCTAATGACTGAAGTATTTTTAAACAATTCTAGACATTATATTTTATGCATTTCAAATTAAGCACCTTCTTGCTTAATATGTTATTTAGCTACAGTGCCATCATTACACTGGAAAAAAGATTTCCTTGACACCATGTAACACCCAATCTATAATCGAATTTCCCCTACTGTCTTACTGTTTGTTTACAGTTGTTTTGTTTGAATCAGGATCTGAACAAGGTTCTTACAGTACATTTGGTTTTATGTTTCTTTTAATTGTTAATCCGTAGCAATTTCCCCTCTTTTCATTCTCATACCATTAACTTGTTCATGAAACTTATCTTTTTGTCCTATGTAATTGCCTATATCCTAGAGCTGTCTATTTGCTTCCGTGTCAACGTAAGAAATGTCAAACAAAGAATTTTTATGAGTTTATTTGAGCCAAACTGATTATAGTTGTTGGGAAGCAGGGTCTTAACAGATTGAGAAAATGCTCTGGAAAGTAGCAGACTTACCACTTATTTTATACATCATAATCAAAGGGGAAGATGTAGGGGGTTACATGAAATCCATTAGTGATAGGTTAGGGAGGTGGGATAAAGCAGAGTGGGGAAAACCAATAGACATACACTTCTTTTACATTGGTAGGTATAGGATAGTTAACAGTTAACATTTATAGCACATAGAGATGGTATGTGGGAGAACATGATAACAAAATGGGGTTCTGTGGTCTTGTGCTCTGGTGGGAGATTGTGCCCTGAGGGGTCTGGAAAAGGGGGATTACTCTGACATCTCAAAGGCATGTTATGGTATATGCAAAAGGACAATAGTCAGGCTCAGTTAAGGTAAAGATTGATCTTTGTCAAGAAGATACCAGCCTAGGACATGACTACCCACCATGATTTGCTTTTAGTTTGGAAGTTTTAATTTCAGACCATCCTAAGTGGTTACTTTAGGTCTCTTAGTTTGTAAAGCCACCATGCAGGCCTCCCCTGGGCTTGTTAGGTTTAGTTTGTGGCCCCTTTTTCATCCGCAATTCTATAACCATTTAACTTGTTCCTCTTTCTTCTGTGTTGCCTTGAATGGAAATTAGCTCTAGACTGGAGGATTTATTAGGTTCAACTTTTTTCGCAGGGAATAAGCAAGGTCTGGTTATTCCATTTTTAGTGATGCTAAGAATGATCAGTAGCTTCATAGGGACAGCCTGTTCCCTCCCTATCAGCCTTATATCTGATGGTTTTATTCAACAATGAAATGTTTCCTGAATCAGCTCTTTCATTAAGGGTTGCAAATGGTGATTTTTCTAGGTCTACTGTTCTTCAGTTTTTAGTAGCTAGAATTCTGTAATGAGAACTTATGTCAACCAGGACTAGCAACTAGGGTCACCCTAAAGTACAGTGTGTGCAGGAAAAACAGGATAAATGCTTTTCTTTTTGTCAATTTTCAGAGTAAGAAATTTCAGGGAGGATCTTTTGAGGGAAAGTTTCACTCTGTTGCAGTCCATGGTTTCACAAAAAAGTTTAAATGTCACACAAGTTTGATTGTAAGACTAGCATTTCCTAGTATTGGTTCTGTGACATTTTAGGATTTCTCCAAATATATTAGAGTGGCATGAAAATACTAGTTTTTTTTATATTTCTAAAAAAAATGTCAAAGGAGATTATTGCCCAAATAAAATAATGTTGATATTGTAATTACCAAAAATGTTTGCTGTTACTAGCCTAAAGTTATGAGAATAGGAGTAGGTGATAAGTAGAATGAAGAAAGCAATAGGCAGGGCCAGTATACCTTCGGTGGACTGGGAATCTTGTTTGTGCGACATTTTTTTTCTTTGCTAAACTAGTCTAGAATTTTCATGCCATGTGAATTATACTGCTGAACAAAACAATGGTTTCTAAACAATTTCTACCTTTTGCAGATAATGATAACTAGCAATTATTAGACATTTTGAAATTAAAGCATGCCATATTTAGGGCAGAATTTCTCTTTTCAACAAATATTTATTGCATACTTTATTATTATGTTTTTATTGATTTTTTTTGGAGAGAGAGAAAAACATTGATCGGTTGCCTCCTGCCTCCTACTGGGGGATCAAGCCCGCAACCTGTTTGAATTATAAAGCCCAAGAAAACTTCTGTATCGTTGCCTTTTGCCTCAGCCTTTTAAATTTTATTATGAATTTTTAATTATATTTCTTGCCTGTTTATACCTATGGGGTACACATTCCTGTCATAACAGTGGCTCACTGTGGCAGTGACTCTCACCTCATGGGGAAAGAGATGGTGTAAGTATAGGGAGACATAGTTTTTAAAAGTTCCATTCTATCTCATCTCCCAGTTTGAGAGTCATAGTCCTAAGAAATACAAGTTTTACTGGGTAGAGTAATCTTGGTTGTAGGTCGTTGCTTTTCATTACTGTAAAAATTTCTTGCCACTCCCTTCAGGCCTGCAGAATTTTTGTTCAGAGATCGGGACAATATTATGGGAACTCCCTTGTAGGTAACTAACTGCTTTTCTCTTGCTCCTTTTAAGATTCTAACTTTGTCTTTAACCTTTTACATTTTAATTATTATGTGTCTTGGTGTGTGCCTCTGTGGGTTCATCTTGTTTGGGACTCTCTGCACTTCCTGGACTTGAATCTAAAAAATAAAATAAATGAACAAGCAGAACAGAAGTAGACTGATAGGTACAGAGAACATTTTGAACTGTTGCCAGATGAGAGGGAAGTTGGGGGGATGGGTGAGAAAGGTGAAGGGATTAAGATGTACAAATTGGTTGTTATAGAATAATCATGGTGCTCTAAAATACAGCATAGGGGTTATAGTCAATAATATTCTAATAACTATGTCTGGTATCAGATGGATACAAGATTTATCAAGATGAAATAACCGCAAAGTCAGTTGAACTGTGGTATTTAGCTAGTTGGTATATAAAATTTTCCCAGTAAGTAATGATAAATCCATAGCATTTTTTAAAACATAAATCTTATTTCAGAAGCATTATTTGTGCCCTGGCCAGGTAGCTCAGTTGGTTAGAGCATCATCCCGATACACAAAAAGCATTATTTGTAATTTTAAAACGCTGGAAAATACAGGTACACATAAAATGGCAAATATTCTCATCATCTACAGATGACTGTTTTTGATATTTTAGTAACTTTTCTCAGCTTGTTACTTTTTGACCAAAGTAAGATCATACTTACATATTGTATTGCAGCTTGCCATTTTCAGTTAACAAATCTTTATCTTTCCATGTCAATAAAAGTTTACCTCTTTCATACTCAGACCATATTCAAATGTAATTTATTCTTGTATTTCTTATAAATGAAAGTTAGCTCTAAGACTAAACTCTTCATTACCTGTAAGTGCAACAAAATGTTTTCCCCAAAATGTCCTTTACAGTTAGTCAAAATCGGGATTGGTCTGAAGAAGACACATGGCGTGTGGTTATGTCTCCTGATTCTCTTTTAATTTAGCGGAGTCCTTTTTTTCCATGGTACTGACTCAAGATATTGTATAGCTTTGGTTTTCAGTACAGAGATACAGAAAATTTCTTAGTAATGAAAGTTTAAATTTTATTTGTGTATTTTAACCTAATAGTTCTTTGGTTTTTTAAATTCATTTTTTATTTCAGCTAAACAAGCTATCAATCAGGGGAGATCTCCAGTTATAATAGACAACACTAATACACAAGCTTGGGAAATGAAACCGTATGTGGAAATGGTAAATATGAGATATGAGGGAGTTTTTTTATTTTATTCTTGTCAGTTTTTAAAAAAATATTCTGGAATTTTGGTTACTTTGATCTTTATTATTAAAACATTGTCCTTGTTTTCTAAAGAGTTATGTTTACTTAATTTTTAAAATGTGGGGATGGTGCTTATTAGGGAATATGCTTATCTTGTTAGTTTTGCCTGGACTCGAGGACAATAATTGGAATTTGACAGCCAGTTAAGTGGTCTTAAATTTTTTGTAAAACGTGTTATTTTAAAAGTAAAGTTTTTCTTGGTGGAGCGAATTTAGAAGTATTGTCTAAATGAAATTTATGTCTGTCTTCTTTTTACTTTAAGAAGTATTCTCTGGGTTTGTGTTTTCTTCCTTTCCTCTGTGTAGGCCATAGGAAAAGGATACAGAGTAGAGTTTCATGAACCTGAAACTTGGTGGAAATTTGATCCTGAAGAATTAGAAAAGTAAGACACTCAAATTTATTTTGAATATTTTTCTTTTTTCTTTCTTTTCCCCTTTACATGCTCAGTGTCTTTACTAGCTTTGCTTGTCATGTCTTTGCTGCTTATGATTAGGGACCATTACTTCTTACTTTCTGTTAGGAGGAACATTGACTTTAATTCATTGTTTTTGAGGCACCTTGCTTGTTAAATTATATTAATTTTTGTTGTTGTTGTTAAGTGTACTTACGGGAAAAATTGAGGCTTTTCCCTTTGGTTTTTAGCAAGGTCACTTCTCTGCATATCCCTTCCAACTTCATCACCTTCCCATTTTAGGTCTCATCACTTTTTTACCTGGTGCTTTCAAATCTTGCTCCCTCTTTTCCATCTTTACTACTATTGCTCCATAATCCTGTAACCAAGGTCCTTGGAATCACTGTGTTTTGGAATTCAGATTTTGTTTTGGATGTTAGAAAGGTAATACAGTGCATGTACCTAATCAAAACACCCCCTAGCAAGAGTTTGTACAGCTCGTCATAATCCAATATCTTACTATTTCTGAGGCAAATCATGACTAAGTAGTCTAAGTAGATGGAAAAGACTCTACATAATCTGTTGTCAGATCGAGTAGATCATGCTGCCAAATGAGCACAGGTTTGGTTAGATTTTGCTGCCATATGAGTCAACAGAAAGCTGAGTTTTCAGAGCATTTTAGGTTTCGGAATTTGTGGTGAGTGATTGTGGATTTCTATTACTTTTAACTCTGCTCTTCTGTTTGTGTTGACCTTTATATCCCTTTCTCCTCACAGCACTGTTTTTCCTAACTATGACTTTTTTTCCTTCACTTTCACTCACCCTCCCCCCCTTTTGGTAACAGCTTTTTGAGATATGACTCATATACTTTATTTATTTATTTAATATTTATTTTTTATTGATTTTAAAGAGAGAGGAAGGGATAGGGAGAGAGACGATGAGAACATCAATTGGCCCCCACTGGGGATTGGGCCCACAACGTGGGCACATGTCCCAACCGGGAATCCAACCAGCGACCTCCTGGTGCATGTGTCAACAATCAACCACTGAGCCACATTGGCTGGGCTAATTCACATACTTTATTTATTTATTTTATCCTCACCCGAGGACATTTTCCCATATTTTGTTCAGATAGAGTGGGAGGGAGGGAGGGAGAGAGAGAAAAACATTGACGTGAAAGGGACACATCCAGTGGCTGCCACCTGCACAACCCAACCAGGGCCGGGGACAAACCGCAACCGAGGCACAAGCCCCTAGCGGGAACCACAGGCCGACGCTCTGGCCGGTGTGGGTCAGTGGTTAGAGTGTTGGCCTGCACACTGAATGGTCTTGAGTTCAATTACCAGTCAAAGGCACATAACCTAGGTTGCAGTTTTGATCTCCCACCCCGGTCTGGGCAGGTGCAAGAAGCAATGAATCGATGATGCATCTCTCTCATTAATATTTCTCTCTCTCTTTTTCTCCATCCCTCCCTTCCTCTCCCCCTACCGCATTCTGTCTGCTCTCTAAAAAATCAGTGGGAAAAAATATCCGTGGATGAGGATTAACAACAACAAAAAAAGTGTCCAGTTCAGTGGATTTCAGTATGTTCAGAGAGTTGTGCAACCATCACACCCCCCACCTTTTTTTTTTCTTTAAACCATTTGTATTTCTCCCATCTCAGTTTGCCCTTTTAACAGCTTAAAGTGTTATTCTGTGTGGTTTCCAACTAATTCTTTCCCCCTTGTCTTTCATTTCTTTGGTTACTTTACTTTCCCTTTCTGATTTGTATGCATTGTGTTCATATGTGAATAGATAAACCGATAGATTTACTAATATCTGGTATTATTTATCTGTTCTATATGTATAGCACCTCAGGTAGAAGAGACAGAAGTTTAAATACTAACGATATTTGGGTTATGATGAACAAATAAACTGATGAAATACAATTAGACTTTGTTTACATATGGGGGACTGTTGAAATTTATTATAATTCTTACTGTAAATTGACTTTACAAACTAAAATCAATTTAACTCATGTCCAGTATTGCTTTTTGTATGGAATTGAATCAACCATCAAATTTGGCATTTTGTGGAGTTAGTCTTATCTTGCCAGTTTTCAACCTGCGATCTCTTTTTTGGTCTTCTATCTTCTCTCTCTCTTTTGCTTTCTCTTTTTATCTTGAACATAAGCATCAATAGTTTTGAAAAGTAAATGTTTCTTCTGTGTCCTTTTCTGGGGAAAATGAATTATCAAATCTAGAACTATAACATTAAATGTATAATATATTCCTGTGTGTTTTACCATGTCCAGGTCAAGTTACGGAAAATGACAAGGGTAAAATAAATTGTAAAAAGTTCTTTGAGGATCAAAAATAATTTTTAAACCACTTTTTGTTTTCATAAGTAAAGTCACAGAAAAGTACATAAAATACAAACATACAGCTTAACAAATTGCTTATAAGACAGATACTCATTTAACTATTACCCATGTCATGAGAACTTTTCCCAGTAATGATTACTTGGTAATGACTTCCTTGTTTTTCTTTTAAATATCCTTTTTTCCCCCTAAAACATCTTTTGCTATAACACCATAATTTAATTTTGTTTTTTTTTCAAACTTGATATAAATAGAATTACATAGTATGTATTTATATGTTCAGTTTCTTTCACTTCATAATGTTTGTGAGATATATTCAAATTGTATCTCTAATATTTTGTGTTGATAATGTTTTTTAAATGCAATAGAATGTGTTCTAAAATAAGTTTTTAAAAGCGTTAAATATTTGATACTGATTTTTGTAATTCCTACAAGTTCACTCAATTCTATAATTCTCAAAACTGACATAATCTTTGATTTTGTTATTTAAAAAAGAAGGGAGATAAACACAGTGGTTCAATGAATCAGTAGTTATTACTGTGTAAGGAAGATATACTCAGATAACATTTTGCTCTGATTTTTGGTATAAAATGTTAGTAAATGAGATGTAATCTCTAATATTTATTTGCAAAATATAATTTAGAGTCTGTACTCTTTCTCTAAAACAACATACTCTCTAAGTCTGTAAGTTCTTTCAAAAGAATTAAAATCCTTTTCTTTTTTGTTAGGAGGAATAAACATGGTGTGTCTCGAAAGAAGATCGCTCAGATGTTGGATCGTTATGAATATCAAATGTCCATCTCTATTGTAATGAATTCAGTGGAACCAGTGCACAAAAGCACACAAAGACTTCCTCCTTCAGAGGAGAGACAGAGGTGGGAAGGCTCTCTAGACTCACACAATCAAGTCTATATCACATATAGTCATTAAGGTGGCTATTTTCAGCTAACACATTTGTTGCTTGCCTTTGAAAAAAATTAGTGAGCCTTTCTTGAAGTTTAAATGGTTTTAAATAAATTTTTAAAAAGACTACATTGCCTCATAGGGTATGTTCCCAGCAGATGGCTAAATTCTAAAGTGTAAATAAAAATTACGTAAAATTGTACTTTAAATGTTTTTATAATCTTTTGTAATACCTTTGGTTATTATGAAGACACCTGAGTGGTTAAAAACTAGAATGTTTTCTGTAATTGAATTTTAAACTAATTTTATCTGTTTTGTAGATAGTGTTGAACAGGTTTATAGTTCATACTGAAAACTAACTTTTTATAAAACTTTAGTATTTTTTCTTAAGTACCTTAAATATACAAGTAATACTTGTTGTAGACAAGTTCATCTGTGTCACAAAAATATTTCCAAGCTACAATTAGCATATCACTTAGTTAAAACAGAATTCTTCATCAAATGCCATACAGTAGGTGTATGAGTCACCTGGGGAATTTTCTCCATAATGTACATATTTATAATATAATATATACAGATTTATTACCCTTCTTAAGCCATCCCTTTCTCTCTCTCCCTGTCTGCTTCTGGAATGGACAAATAGGGGTATCACTATATAATTAGGAAACTTCCTCAGGCTAGTCTGATATGTATCACTTTTTTGTATTTAGCACAGTAAAATTCTAATATAAAAACAATATTGGATAGTTTCTAGCATTAATTATAAGATTAGTCCTGTAGGATATTTTATTTCTCTTGGTTTTAATTTTTTTGTAGAGCCAACCATATGTCTCACTGGATAGTTTTCTTTGTTAGATTGTGTTTCTTCACTTAAAATTTAAAGACAGATGAAATTTATTCAGAGCTCTTGTAATTCATCCTAATCTTTGCTTTTGTTTACTCTTTTAGGGGAAAAAACTCTCAATTACATGCTATTGAAAAAAATAACCATTATGATCCTTTATGTTTTGCATGCTAATATTTCATGGCCTATAAACTTTTTTTCTCCTAAACCAGCCCATCTTGAATCTGTAATCTTTCATTATATGTTGTTCTAAAACTTTTTGCTGTTCTTTTCAACTTTAAATGTTCTTCCATATCTTTATATTACTTTTTAAGTAATATTAAGTTGCAGAACTCAAAACTAAATGCAGTGTTCTCAGCAAGGTCTTTATTACATAATTACCTTTAGTGAGACATGAATATAATTTCCATTGTACTATTCAATGCTATTTACACTTGAGTGGGTATTACCTTGTTTTTTCTTGTTTAACACATATGTGTGTTTGTATGGATTTGTTCATCCTAACTAAATATAATGTAGTAGAAATATGCTAACTCATGTTTTGTGTGTAAATGTAAATATATCTATACATACATTTTCTTTATCTACTATTTTCATATATTCTTTTGTTTCAGAATAATACTTGGTATTTGGACTCGTGTTTCCCAGTATTTTATTATGTAAAGTAGCACATTTTTAAAATAGTACTGAAGGATTTCATTTTGGGACAGGTGAAACAGTTGTTACATATATACTGTGTGTCCTTCAACCTCTGTCTTTATAAAACTTTGGGAGTAATAAATAGTACTATATATTTATAGTTTTTGAATAATAGACTCTTAATTACCACATTTATTTTAAGGAAGTAGAGAATTGCCTTTGGAAGATATAAATTATGAGGAGAAATGTTTGTGTTAGATAGTAAGTCTAAATTTCCAGATTTTATTACAGATTCAACTCCTAGTACCTCTGAGTACTAAATAATTATTCAGAGATCATTATTTAATTACTGACTTTTTTTTCAAATATGTTTTTATTTGATTTTATAGAGAGAGAGAGGAAGGGAGAGATAGAAACATCGATTTGGCTGCCTCCTGCACACCCCCCGACAAGGGATCAAACCCAAAACCCGGGCATGTGCCCTGACTGCAAATCACACTGGAACCTCTCAGTCCATGGGACGATGCTCAATCCACTGAGCCACACCAGCTGGGCTAATTACTGATATTTTAAAAAATTATAAATGCTTTTTGAGGCAGGGAAGTTTCCATTCTGAAAGACTTTCCAGGGGTTTTTGTAAGACAAAAACTGATGCTTCCCCCAAGAATTCTGGCTAATTTTATTTTTTGAGCAGTAACAATAAGGAATAAATATGCAATAAAAGATGCCCAAATCACTATTAAAAAGTCATTGCTTGAGTTTAAAAATCTATAAAAAGATGAAATTTTATCAATTAAAATTTTTTTAGAAAGGTAATATTCTTAATGTCATAGCCCCTCAGCTGCTACCTCCCATCCTGAGTTGGTCTCCATCACAAAGTAACTGAACTTTATCCACCATGTTTAAGATGAAATACACTTTATTTGCACACAATACAGCTTCTAGTTTGGTTCAGTAAGATTAAGTTGTTTTTTCATAGGCTTAGTGTAAAAATCACTTTTTCTTTTTGGATAAGCAAATTTATAATTATCTATATGTCATAATCCTATAGTAAAAATACTTGTGTTGTAATTAAGTTGAATTTTGGGTACTGCTTTTTAAATAGATAATCTTTATTTTCAGTATTCACCTTTCTAAAAGAACATGATAGCTTTTTAATATTTTATGTTTTTAAAAATAAGATTGTTTACAAAAGATTGGGTTGTATTATATTGTTGAAATGATAGAGTGGATTTATGAATTTAAAGTTTGCTTATCTTTTGTCTAGTTGATACAGATTATGGAATTTTCCAGTTTTATATATAAATTTTGAAGAGCTCATAATTTCAAAGGATATAAAATATTTGTTTTGACCAAATTTGAGTTTTTGTTATTGCAGAAATGTCTTATTTTCTGAGTCTGGTTTTGTAAGTATTTATAAAGAAATTGGTGGTGGTCTCTGTCAAAAATATTGAAGAAATGTGGTTGTTTATGTATTAGTGCTTGACCAGGTGGGTTTGCTAGCCTTTATTGCAGTTTTATGTAGTATTCAAACATGAATGCAGTAACTGAAAATTCAGTTATTAGGGATGAAGTTTCTTAATGTGTGATTTTGTTAAAACATCTGCAACCCCTATACATAAAGAGTCTTAGTCTAGAATCATAAAAAAGTATTACTTGGTTTTGTCACAGTGATCATTTAAAATATTTGGAGGCTGCAGAAAGAATAGATTGAATTAGTGGCTTTTAGAGTTAAGTTTTATGGGATACAATTTATAAGTAACATTTTTCCATTATAATTGTTAGCTGTAATTGTGAATTTATAGGTAAATGAGTGATTAGATTAAGGAATTAATGAAGTATGTTTTGTGATGGTTTTTTCCTCCTTACCAATTAAATAAGATTAGCATCTCAATTTATGTTTTTAAAATTGTGATACTATTAAACCAATTGGTCTTTGTATGTATACTAGATTTTCTCCTTAAAAGTGTCCTTAGGATGGTAAGAAACGATATTAAATTTGTTGAAATAGATTCTGAAAGAGGAATTAGTGATTATATTGTGTCTTTTTTATTCCTTTTTTTTTTTTAACTTTTCAAAACAAGTTAATTCAGTTCAGTTGATTCAAATTGCCAAGTGTTTCAAGTCTAAAACATTTTCACTTTTGCATGGTTTGTAAATTCAGTGCAAATCTTGAAAAGTTTATAATTTTAATTTTTGCAACTAAGGTCAGAGAATTTGTAATACAATGGTTATAATTTACACTCACTGTCTTTTGACTACATTGAATGGTATAATTTTTGTAATAGAATTCATGTGTTAATTTTGAATATATTTCCTATGGAAATTCATAATGTATTGTCATTGTCAAATTGTGCACACAAAAAGGGAAAGAGCAGCACAAGTAACTCTTTGGAAAGAGATCCTCAGGAGTAAATAGTTACTCTCAAAGCTAAGAAAGTTTTGGAAAATTTAGATTTTTTGATACATTTAAGTCTGTTTTAGTCATTTAAATTAGAAATTATCTTTTTCCTTTCCCCGTTACAGATTTTATTTTCTGTCATATTGCAGGTGTGATAATGCAAGTAATTAGATACTTTCCATTGTAGAATCCAGTAACTCCAAAATAAGCAGTCTTTAATTTAAGAGTAAATAAAATAGATTATTTTATTTTGCATGGACACGGCCATAGCCTGTCTCCTAATCTTAGAACTAGACACAAGCATTATGCCTACTTTGGTGAGTAACTAAAGACTTTGTCTAAGAGTGTTGTCCAGTTGTTAATATTTCCATGTTGTTGTTTTTTCTAATTTAACAACTTTTTGTAAACTAATGGGAAGATTGCTAGCTTTTGATGAGCTGTTGGGCTTTTGCTTCCCAACTTTATTAGTAACTAAGGAAAAAAAGTAAGAATAATTTATTCATTTATAATTAAAACTGTGTTCAAGTTAGTAGAGTTCATTGAAATACACTTTATTTGGATTATTTCCTTGTTTTGCGGTTTTAACTGTGTTCTCAGATAGGACATATAAAAATTAAAGTTTTACTATGCTTGGGGTTATTAGTTCATCTACAACTAGTAATTGTAATTGTACAACTTTGTTATTGTCTCTTCTATTGTAATTCTGAACTCTGGGTTTTTTAGAATAACCAAATGAGAGAAAATTTGATTTAGGAAGGGATTGTGGGTTCTTCCTCTTAATTTCTTTTTGTTTTTCTTTTTTGTCTTTTTTTTTTTAATCCTCACCCGAGGACATTTTTCCATATTTTGTTCAGATAGAGTAGGAGGGAGAGAGAGAGAGAGAGAGAGAAACATCACCGTGAAAGAAACACATCAAGTGGTTGCCACCCACACGACCCAACCAGGGCCGGGGACAAACTGCAACCAAGGTATGTGCCTTTAGAGGGAACCGAACCCAGGTCTCTCTGGACCGAAGGCCAACGCTCTAACTGCTGAGCCAAACTGGCCAGGTCTCTTTTTTGTCTTTCTTAATGATATTTGAAATCGTTTCTTTCCTAGTCTTTTTCTGTACATATTTTCTTTTTCCTCTATTCAGTCTCTGCTCATCCAACCTTTATGTAACCTTATAACATTTTTAACGGCGATGATGGGGTGGTAAGTGACTGACAAAATGGAGGTAACTTTTTCTCCCTCCTATGTTCTGCTGAACTTATTATTTCTTGTGAACCTTTTTAACTGTGTCAAACTTATAGACCACAGCCTATCAATAATGTGTTACTCATTTGTTAGGAATTCCATAAACATGGCGTAGTATTTGGATGTATGGATTTGAAGAAAAAAAATTATTTTCCAATACTTAAGCATCATGATGATATAGACTAGTTGATAATTAGTATTTGGAAATTCACTGTTATTATGTCATGATTCTCCAATCTACCCTTCTTAACGAACTGAATGATTTTGAAGGAAAACGGATAGCTATTTTGAGTTAAACTTCTACAGGTGGGTATTTAGATTCTGCATTGTTGCTACAATAATCAATAGGA